TGGACATTCAGGCTTTAAATAACGGAGAACCTTCAAGTAGAAGTCGTGATCCTCATTTCCACTCATATTGTAAATAATTCAATTAATTATAAAACTAATCATGTAGATATTAAAATCAATACACGTCGAATTCAATTCGATGCATTCGCATATAGTTGATTTTTCATAATTTTAAAATTTTTTTAAAAATTTATATTTCTTTGAAAACTAGTTTTTACAGCTGGTGCTGGATATTCGAATATTCCTGCAGAATATATGAAAAGTCATCTTCGTTATCAGAAAACCTCGAAATTTCAAGAATACATATTTTTAAAAATAATTCTAGGATCATATGCAAAATATTATGAAATATCTACTATAGGAATGCATCTAATTGAATTTGACAGTTATTCATTATAATATTTACAATATTTTGCTTTAAACCAATTGAATTATTTATGATTTGAGTGGAACTCTGTAAATTTATAAGTATGCTACGCTCTTGGTACAAGACGTTTTCAACCTTATAGACGTAACAGATAGAAGTGATATTAGTTGCGATCAATATAGAAAATCAATAACAATATCAGCCTGTACCCCTTTCTTTTTTCGCAAACACTCCCTTTAAATAGGTAAACAATCTCTTCAAATTATATTTTCTATTTAATTAAGGGAGGATTAATGATGTACTGCTCCATTATCTTCCATATTCCAATGTTTCTCGCGATGTTGGTGACCTTCGTGGTAGACGCAATTGCCTTCATCTGTATTGGACTAGCAGTAGAAATGGCAATTCTGAAGGTCCTTGCTGTGGTTAAGGTAAGTTTAGGGACACCCCATTAGATTTTAATATTTTTGAAAATGTTATGACAACTTACAACGTTAAAACATAGTTTTTTAAATTTACCCCATTTACTAAATTTTTCTAAATTTTCTAATTACTTATCTTTCCAAACTGATGGTGCAAACCTTGGAAATTTAAAACTTAGATTAATAGATCTAACATAATTCATAATTTGAATTATATAGACCAGGAAATTCTGCTGCAAAGATATAGGGATTATAAAATCTGAGTTTGTGGCAAAAGCTAAATTCACCGTGTTTCATAATTTGCCCTTCTTAGTTTAACATCATTACTTTCTAAAAACTAGTTTAAAAAGAAAGTATATTTCTATCATCAGTACATGACTAAATTCTTTAATCGGAGGGCCAATTAAGTTTTGTTGGCCATATTCAAAGAATTTTATGGTTGGTAGGAATGCAACTATATTTTTTTTCAGCAGAAAGAAAGGGATTGAGGATTTGCTACAAGCTCTGATTCTATAATCCCTATAACTTTGTAACCCAATGTTGCAGACCTTAGATATTTTAAACTATGAATAATTGAAAAATATTATTTTTAATATTATAAGTTGGAAATATCACAGGTAGCAAAGATCCAAGGATTATAAAGACTCAATTTCATTATTTAGTTTGGACGGTTTCTGGGTTGGGATCCTGTGTCGACTGCAAAATGGTTTCTTGTATTCAACTGTACACTGTATTCTCCTCCAGCCCTTACCCTACTCTACATACACATCAGCTCAGGTTAATGATGCATTTTCAAACTTAAAGTCTGTTGTATAGTTAAAGGGACTGTAAGCGTAAATTTAAGTGCAAAGATGAAAATGCCCGATTTACAAGGGTACCCTTGAAACCTTACTCTGATAAAAATGTGGAAGGTAAAATTGTTTTTCTGACTCGAAAAGTGTCTATTTCTTTTTCTCCTGTTTTTAAAAGCAAGAAATGCGCAAGTCAATTTGACAGGGAAACCGCAAATGAAAATAAACAGTTTAGAGAAACAAAATATTGTTTCTGCAAATGAAAATAAACAAAATTTTTTTTTTTTTTTAATTCATACTTGATCAGACAAAGTTCTTAAGGGTACCTTTGTAAATCGAGTAAGGATATATTTGCATTGTCATAGATATCGGAACGCTCGACTTCTTCGTTTCGTTCGTTAATCGTTTGTGAACGACCCATTTCGTTCGTTTCTTTCAATTGTTTAAAAAAATGATTTTTTTCGTTCTCAAAATTATTGTTCGTTTTCTCACAAACCGATCGATCATTAAAATCATTAGTTTTGTAAAATCGTTTGTTCATTAAAAAAAATCGATAGTTTTTCCAAATTTTTCGAAAGAATCGTTCATTCAGAAAAAAACGATTGTTTTTTAAAAATTTTGTCCCAAAAAATTGTTTGCGGTTCAATAAAAAAACAATATTTTTTTCGAAATGTTTGGAAAATTCGTTCGTTAATTAAAATAACGATCGTTTTTTCACGTTCGCTAAAACGATTTTAAATCGTTCGTTTTTTTCGTTGCTTTTGAAAACGATAATTTTTCATTTCTCTGAACGATCCATTTCGTTCGTCCATCGGTCATTTTTTTTCAAAACGACACCCTTTCCCAAGAAAAATTTCTTTTGTTCTCAAAAATGTTGTTCCTTCAAAAAAACTTCAGCTACTTTAAATGATGCTGGAAACAACAAAAATAAGTCTTTCACGGAATAAGGCAATTAGCCGCTACAATATTGAAAATAATATGTTTCCGCTGGTGAAATCCAGCTGAAGTGTTGTGGAGTTCTGAACTCAGATCAATACTAATAATTCGTTAACTCTGATATTAAGGTTATGTTTCACCAATGAATTCGTATCTTACTGGGCTGGAAGTATCTCCTGGCTTTAATCCCTCCACCATAGTTCAAGCTGTACACTCAGGGTTTGCAATCATCATCATGTTTCTCTCCAACATGTATATCAGTCACTACTTAGACAAACATCATAGCGCTGATATCTTTAGAGCGGAGAGGAATAATCCGTCCAGAAAAGTATTTAATCTGAAGGGCATGCTTATCTCTGTAGCTTTTGCTTTCGCCATGTTGCTAGTCATGATATTTTTCCAGCAGAAGGAACAGGAGTTCCCTATCGGAGCTGTAATAACTACACTCCTTGTTACATTGATTAATCTATACGTTGCTCAGAACAAAAGAATTGTGGATTATTTCATCTTCTATCTCAAAAAGTGTAATTTCGGATTTTCCCTCTCCGTTCCCGTCTCAAATTTCCCGGTCTCTCTAGTTCCAGTTCCTGGTAGAGTTGGACCCCAACCATATTCCATCCAACCATAGACAATCTTCCCTAAACTGGGTTTATCCAGGACTATATCTCTCTAGTTCCAGTTCCTGGTAGAGTTGGACCCCAGCCATATCCTATCCAACCATAGATAATCTTTCCTAAACTGGGTTTATCCAGGACCATATCTCTCTAGTTCCAGTTCCTGGTAGAGTTGGACCCCAGCCATATCCTATCCAACCATAGATAATCTTTCCTAAACTGGGTTTATCCAGGATTATATCTCTCTAGTTCCAGTTCCTGGTAGAGTTGGACCACAGCCATATCCTATCCAACCATAAATAATCTTTCCTAAACTGGGTTTATCCAGGATTATATCTATCTAGTTCCAGTTTCTGGTAGAGTTGGACCCCAGCCATATCCTATCCAACCATAGATAATCTTTCCTAAACTGGGTTTATCCAGGATTGTATCTCTCTAGTTCCAGTTCCTGGTAGAGTTGGACCCAAACCATAGACAATCTTTCCTAAACTGGGTTTATCCAGGACTATATCTCTCTAGTTCCAGTTCCTGGTAGAGTTGGACCACAGCCATATCCCATCCAACTATAGACAACCTTCCTAAACTGGGTTTATCCAGGACTATATCTCTCTAGTTCCAGTTCCTGGTAGAGTTGGACCCCAGCCATATCCCATCCAACCATAGACAATCTTCCCTAAACTGGGTTTATCTAGGACCATATCTCTCTAGTTCCAGTTCCTCGTAGAGTTGGACCACAGTCATATCCCATCCAACCATAGACAATCTTCCCTAAACTGGGTTTATCCAGGACTAAATCTCTCTAGTTCCAGTCCCTGGCAGAATTGGACCCCAGCCATATCCCATCCAACCATAGACAATCTTCCCTAAACTGGGTTTATCCAGGACTTTATCTCTCTAGTTCCAGTCCCTGGTAGAATTGAACCCAGTAATATACCAACCAACCATAGGCAATCTTCCCTAAACTGGGTTTATCCAGGACTATATCTCTCTAGTTCCAGTCCCTGGTAGAATTGAACCCAGCCATATACCATCCAACCATAGACAATCTTACCTAAACTGGGTTTTTACAGGACTATATCTTTCTAGTTCCAGTCCCTGGTAGAATTGAACCACATTCATATCCCATCCAACCATAGACAATCTTCCCTAAACTGGGTTTTTGCAGGACTACTCCTGTAATGCTTGTCTTGACGTCTAATCAATGTTTTTATTAATTGGGCAAATCCTTTTCATTCAATACAATTCCTATTCCAGAGTTTTCTGGTTCTCACTATAAAAGAAAGAATATTACAATATTCTATTATTAAATCTTATTGTGTTGTCTAGTACAATTTATATTTAATAAATGTGTAGAATAAGGGAATAAAAAGAAAATGTGTAATTTAATTTTTAGCTTTCAGATTATCTAATTTTTACAGGGTTACTTACAAAGGATTTTAGGCTTAGTTTCGGGTTTCCCTGTAAGTTTGTTTCTTTCTTTGCCAAATCGTCAAATAAGACATTAAAAGACTACGCTTGAGACAGTACACTTCATTCAACCTTGCAGGAATCGTTATATTTAAAAAAATCGGGTCGTCTTTATAGTCGGATAATTTGTGGGTAACCCTGTATATTATGAGGAGACAATTTATTATGTCACAATAAAACTACAGAATTATCCTTTTTTTCTTTCTCTATAATTACATACAGGGTTACCTACAAAGAATGAGACTGTTAAGACGACCTGAAACTTTTAAAAGTTGATGATTCCGATGTTAAATTAAGCCTTCTGCCTATGAATAAAAAAACTCTCATTTAATTATTCTGGCCATGATCGAAATCATTTATCGATTCTGTATTAATGAATTAATGAAAGAAAAGTTTATAATATTTATTTTACTCTGTACTGATCATTAAACCGTACTTTTTGATTAAATCTAGAATTTACATCTCCTTCTTTTGTTGGATTTCCCCCGATAGTAAAAGACGACTTTGTATCTCTGCGCTCCTGACCGGGCCCTGGCATCTCCAGTATTTTCTAAAATATCAAAGCTGTTTAGAAACATTTACCGATGTGCTCATTTTGCTAAAAGGGGTAGACTGGCTAGGTTTTTATCCAATAAACGTCAAAACGGCTAAACCGATAGGGCCCAAATTTTGAGTGGGACCTTGCATGGCCCCAGGTAAGGTTTATGGATGATCAAATATAAAAAATTTGCCTCAAACACATCGGATCATCATTAAATTTCAAAAATCCACGGAATTTTTTTAAAAATCCGCCAACTTTGTTTTGTTTTTGTTTAACAGTGTATACTAAGCCCCATGAAAGCCTAATAATATATTTTCAGTATTTCATAATTGCTACAAAGACTGAAAACTCGTTTTTCAAAAATCACGAGACTGGATAATTTGCGCACAAGATTTATTTTTTTTTAAAACCATTTAATAAACTGTAAAAAACATAATTTGAAACGTAAACGAAAATGTAGTGTAATGTAGCTCTACATACTGTACTGTAGCTCTAAATACTGTACTGTAGCTCCACATACTGAACTGAAGCTCTTCATACTGTACTTTATCTCTACATACTGTACTGTAGCTCTGCATACTTTACTGTAGCTCTACATACTGTACTGTAGCTCTACATACTGTACTGTAGCTCTACATACTGTACTTTATCTCTACATACTGTACTGTAGCTCTGCATACTTTACTGTAGCTCTACATACTGTACTGTAGCTCTACATACTGTACTGTAGCTCTACATACTTACTGTAGCTCTACATACTGTACTGTAGCTCTAAATACTGTACTGTAGCTCTACATACTGTACTGTATCTCTACATACTGTACTGTAGCTCTAAATACTGTTCTGTAGCTCTACATACTGTACTGTAGCTCTTCATACTGTACTGTAGCTCTACATACTCTACTGTAGCTCTACATACTGTACTGTAGCTCTAAATACTGTACTGTAGCTCTACATACTGTACTGTAGCTCTACATACTGTACTGTAGCTCTACATTCTGTACTGTAACTCTACATACTTACTGTAGCTCTACATACTGTACTGTAGCTCTAAATACTGTACTGTAGCTCTACATACTGTACTGTAGCTCTAAATACTGTACTGTAGCTCTACATACTGTACTGTAGCTCTACATTCTGTACGGTAGCTCTATAACATACTCTACTATAGCTCCTCATACTGTGCTGTAGCTGTTTTATCATTGTGTACCTTAAAGGGACTGTGAAAGAAAAATGAAAAGGGGTGTAGGATGAAACCTGAGAATCTCAAGTCTTAAACAATACCTATAAGACATCTATCTTATGTTCCTGTCTTGAGAAATTGACATAAAACTGTGTCAAAATTATACCAAAACGGGCATATGCCAGATTTTGTATAAAAGTTGTAGTATTAAACAGATCATAGTCAACAATTATGCAACCAATCTGAAAGCGACTATATCTAACAGCAACATGAACATATAATAATATTATCAATTATATCTATAAAAAATGCATAATAAAAATTAAATAATTATAACAGGAAGGTTTGCTCCTGTTATAATTATTTAATTTTTATTTTGCATTTTTTATAGATATAATTGATAATATTATTACATTTAATCCATATAGTCCGTAGTACGTCACCAGTACTTCAGCCAATGACAGTGCAGTATCGTTGTCACGTGGTAAGACGTAATATACGGACACGGACTATATGTAATAATATTATCAATTATATCTATTAAAAATACAAAATGCAAAATAAAAAATTATAAAATGAGCAAACCTGAGATTCTCAGGCTCCTGTGGGATATAATCGTTTTCAGATTGGTTGCATAATTGTTGAATATGATCTGTTTAACCTGAACTGTACCATGTACTGTACTCTGTACCGTGTACTGTAACGTGCACTGTACCGTGTACCTGTACAGTACCGTGCACTGTAAGTATACCTGTACTGTACCGTGCACTGTAAGTGTACCTGTACAGTACTGTACCGTGCACTGTAAGCGTACCTGTACTGTACCGTGCACTGTAAGTGTACCTGTACTGTACCGTGCACTGTAAGTGTACCTGTACTGTACCGTGCACTGTAAGTGTACCAGTACTGTACCGTGCACTGTAAGTGTACCTGTACTGTACTGTGCACTGTGCCGTGTACCTGTACTGTACCGTGCACTGTAAGTGTACCTGTACTGTACCGTGCACCGTAAGTGTACCTGTACTGTACCGTGCACTATAATTGTACCTGTACAGTACTGTACGTGCACTGTAAGTGTACCTGTACTGTACCGTGCACTGTAAGTATACCTGTACTGTACCGTGCACTGTAAGTGTACCTGTACAGTCATGTACCGTGCACTATAAGCGTACCTGTGCAATGTAAGTGTACCTGTACTGTACCGTGCACTGTAAGTGTACCTGTACTGTACCGTGCACTGTACCGTGTACCTGTACTGCATATTTGTTGTTGAGGAGACCTCTACTCCGTAGTTCGGACTCCAAGGTTAACCTGAGATAAAAACTTGCAATAAGATGGAAATTATGGTTCAAGATGAAAAGTCTCGGAACACTCGGAAAAGTCCATTCTCGGAACTGTTTTATAAAATTTGGAGTTGAAAAATAATTAACGTTATTTTCTTATCAGCCTCAGGAAAGGTTAGCTAGGCCTTTACGGGTCCAAATTTATCCGAAAAAAATGGAAACCATATTGCTTAGCCCTAGATCCTGAGCTTCACTCAGCTGGTAATAAACGGTACCTTTGATCTTGTCTTTGTTGAGCTTAGTTTTACTGGTTATACTGGTTATATAACTGGTAATATCTAGTACCTTAGATCTTGTCTTAGTTGATCTTAGTTATACTGGTTAAACTGGTTATATAGCTGGTAATAACTAGTTCCTTAGATCTTGTCTTAGTTGATCTTAGTTATACTGATTATACTGGTTATATAACTAGTAATAACTAGTACCTTAGATCTTGTCTTAGTTGGTCTTAGTTATACTGGTTATACTGGTTATATAGCTGGTAATAACTAGTACCTTAGATCTTGTCTTAGTTGATTTTAGTTATACTGGTTATACTGGTTATATAGCTAGTAATAACTAGTACCTTAGATCTTGTTTTAGTTGATCTTAGTTATACTGGTTATACTGGTTATATAACTAGTAATAACTAGTACCTTAGATCTTGTCTTAGTTGGTCTTAGTTATACTGGTTATACTGGTTATATAGCTTGTAATAACTATTACCTTAGATCTTGTCTTAGTTGATCTTAGTTATTATACTGGTTATACTGGTTATATAGCTTGTACTTACTAGTACCTTAGATCTTGTCTTAGTTGATCTTAATTATACTGGTTATACTAGTTATATAGCTGGTAATAACTAGTACCTGAGATCTTGTCTTAGGTGAGCTTAGTTATACAGGTTATACTGGTTATATACTGGTAATAACTAGTACCTGAGATCTTGTCTTAGTTGATCTTCGTCCCAGCTTGGTTGTGGGAATAGGGGAGCAAGGAGAGGAACTTCTGGTTCTTCATTCTCATTGGGTAGCTTAGCATCAGAGGACTTTAAATGAAAAAAAAAAATATCCAGGATTATACATAATCATTCATATTTTGGATTAAAAGTCAATAGATGTTGGATTCATGGGATAGATTTTGATAAATAGAGATTTTTGCTAAAATAGAAGATTTAAAAAGTCACATTCATTGCAGTCCAAAAGGTTTAGTTATTGCGGAAATTAATAAAATCTTATTTCTAAAAATTTTACGTTTTGCTTGGGAAAAGTCATAGGGTTCTCTAATGATGTTTAGAAGTACTAGTTAACGATTAAACGTTATTATTCGTATGGATTGTCGATGAATGCTAAGAAACTCTTATTAGAGTAAAGAATTGGTAGTAAATTATTTAGGGATCAGATTGAATATAGAGTTAGGAGAAGCTAGGTTGAACCAAGTACATTTAATTGAACCACTTTTGTCAGCTTGACCCATTACACAGAGAGAACTGGTTGAACTAGGGGTACTTGGTTCAACCACTTCTCCCTACCCATTAGATTTAGTCCCAGGTTCAAAATACCTTGGTTGAGAAAGTAAACCTATCCCTGATGACTGGCATGATATGAACTCCTAATCTTCTCCGAGCAATCCGCCTTAATCTCTCCAACCTGACTTCTCTCTCCAGCACCTCCATCTCCTTCTCCCTCACCTCCTGGTTCCTCTCCTCCTCCTTCCTGTTCATCTCCTGCCTCCTGAACTTAATTCGCACGTCTCGCTCCTTCTCCTTGAGCACCTTGGACCTGAGGAGGGCTCTTACCTCGTCCTCCAGCTGGAGTTTTGCGAGATTCTGAACCTCAATTCGGTTCCGTCTCCATCTTCTCACAGCGTCTCTTCTTTCATCTTGTATCCGGCGGAGTTCTTTTCTACGGCGTATCTGTCTCCGCCGTTCTCTTTCTGCCTTCACTTTATCCAATCTTTCATTCTCAATATCCTACAGTGGTAGGTGATTATATAAATATGATGAATACTAATTTTTTAATCTAAGTTTTGATTGTTAACGAGCTTTCTTCGAATTGCAAGTTCACAGGTAATCAAAGAGAAACCTTTTTACTTGACAGATTCTCTTTACTTCTACATTAATGTGTATCCATGCTCTTTGACAGCTTGATTTAAATCAAAATTGAAAACGAAAGTCGTATTCATTGTCTTGATATAATCGCCTACTCCAGTATAACATTTTATTTCAAACATTAAATGTATTTTAAATAAAAAACTATTTTTTTACCTTGATATGTTTAAACTCCTTTTGTACACAAAGTTCTTGTTTCAGTCTTTTACACAATATAATCTGCTCTTCTCTCTCCTCCCTCCACTCCTCCTCCTGCCTCCCCTTCTCCTTCAACCACTCCACCACCTTACTTACCCGCCTCCGGAGTCTAACCTCCTCCCTGGAGAGATCCCTCCGACAGGTTCGAACCTGCTCCAGGATACAATCCTCCTCATCCAACCATAGGTTTAGTAGATTAACCTCACTAGGTCGGATACCTAGAAAGGAGAACACATTTTTCATCATAACTCATCCAATGTATCATTGTATGTAAAATGTAATGTATTAGTGTAAATTGTCCAAACTGGCAAAAAAAAAAAGGTTTTACTCTCACAGGTAGAATAACTCGGGTTTGGAAATTAATTTCGATATATTTTATATCCTCTTCAGTCCTACAGAAAATGACCAAAATTATTACAAATTAAAAATAAAGATGATGTAACAAATAAATTTCTAGAAATTTATAGAAATTAGATGTACTTTTTGTTATGAAATGTATGCTTTTGCAGTTATGTAATGTATGTAATGTATGTAATATCTGTAATGAATGTAATGTTTGTAATGTATGTAATGTTTGTAATGTATGTAATGTATGTAATATATGTAATGGATCTAATGTATGTAAAGTATGTAATGTCTGTAATGTCTGTAATGAATGTAATGTATGTAATGTAAGTAATGTGTGTAATGTATGTTATGAATGTACCTATAAGCCTAAAAACCATATCCGTCCATAGAGTTGAATAGTTTGTATGTTTTGAACTAGCATACACCATCTTTACTTCTCTAGTTAGAATATTTAGAAATTTAAAAAGACGTCCAAAATATTACTATTTAAAGGGAGAGACCGGTTAGGCAACATATTTGAACCGAGAGTGCAGTATGTAAGAGAACATTTTTTAGATTTATTTGATAAAAATGAGAAGTTTTTTCTAATTAAAAACAGATGTTTATTTGTAAAATTATACCAGAAGGGATCTGGTCCACAGAAGAAACATTTTTTACAAATATTAAATAACCCGGAAGAAAAACTAATCGCAAAAGAGTCGCATGTCCGATTCACAATGTACCCTCGGTCTAAATAATATAAAAGAACATATTGTCGTTTGTTGTCGAGAAAATTATTGAATTGTGACAATTTTCTTTAAATATTTTCTGCAACATAAATTCTCAAATCACTTTTTATAAAGAAGCCATAGTTGAACATTAGAACTTTTTAAAGTATTGATTGAGGCAATTGGTAAATAGTATAGAACTACTTTTTAGAAATAAGTTTTTCAAGAAAGTCCAGACGAACAAGAAAATGGCTGAGCTTTTTCTTTTTAAAACTCGTGCCATCATTTCAGAAATGTAGGGTCATAGGAAATATACTATTCTAGGATTTTAGGGCGCTTCGCGCCCATCTTCTATTTAAATTGTGAACATGTTCTTTTTGTTTACATTTAAAAACAAAGAAAAAAATTTTTTTGCGGATTTAAAAAAAAATTCGTGGATTTTCAAGAATTTAAATTTTTTTCTACAAGATTGAAAACCTTTAAAACACATTTTTAAAATTTTTTTTCATCCATAAACCTTCCCTGTGGTCACGTGATGTCCCACAAAAAATTTGGGCCCGATCGGTTCAGCCGTTTTGACGTTTATTGGATACAAACAACAGACAGACAAACAGACAGACAATCCAAATTTATATATAGATATGTAATGAATGTCTTGCAACACTATATCTGTAAACCTGAACTGTGTTGTACATTATGAATTATCTAAGTTTGTAAATAGCTACATAAAACCCATTATGATCCATTATCTTAAACTGCGCTGTAAATAACTACGTGACATGATTAGCTTAATTTCGTTGTATATATCAAAGTAAAACTTGTAATTTCGTTGATTAACTTTAACTTGTAACATTTAGTTGGAATTAGACTCTGCTATGATTACGGTGTGAGAGTAATTACTTCTTGGTTGTTAGCAAACAAGAAGCGTCCTGAAACACCTTCTTGAAAGATAGATATAGATTAGGAACTGGTATAGATAAATCATGTCCGGATTGACATTGATAGTAAAGCATTGGTACAGATAAATCGTGTCCGGATTTCATATTTTATATTTGCAAATACATTTAAAAATAGCCACTTTTATAACAGAAAAAAGCTAAAATTGTTGATTTGTTGAAAGCCTAGAGTATATCCATATTTTGCAACAGATTACTTGATCAAATTACCTTATAATAAGCTCTCTTCCTGCAGTTAACTTCTTTGGTCTGAGTTTCCTATTCGGGGTTTTTACTCTCTTAGATTTAGAATAAAAATATAATTACGTTGGTAAATGGGAATAATTATTGTTAAAAGTACCTAAGGATGTAAAAGTCTGATTCAGCTCTTTTAATGTTTCTTCTTTAAATCCAACAAAAAACTCATCCAACACTAAATCAGTTAATTAAAAAGTTTTATAAAAAACTTTTTAAAAATTTTCTAATAGAAAAGTTAAATACAATTACTCACATTTGTTTGTAGTAAGTTTAGGAATATGTTTTAAAGGATCAAATCTATCTTTGTTCATGAATATATTGGCACTTGGAGTAATTTCGTCATCAATGGTGGGATAAGTACTCAGAGTAAGGTTTAGGTTACATCCTGAGTTCACTTTTTTCCTAAATAGTTTTGCCACAGGTTCTAGGTTATTAATTTGATCATCAGTAGACACCTCAGAACATGTATCAGACACCTGAGGACGGATGGCAGACACCTGAGAGTGAACAGTGGACACCTGAGAGTGCACAGTGGACACCTCGGATTGAGTGTCTTTTAACAAGTCTTCAAATCTTCCTAAACACAACAATATTGGTTCCTAAAAAAGGTTTGAATGGTCTTTTAACTTTCATTTTTATCTTCATTGGAATCTTTTGATATTATTATTTAAGTTTAGCTTAATATTATAAACAGCTAATTTGCATTCAGGAATCCTTTCCAAGATTTCTAGTTATGAGGCGTAAAATAAATTCCTTTTGTGGATTATTTTCTATATATTTGTAAATCTAAATATATTTGATATTTGATCTGAGACCCTGAAGATACGTTGAAATAGTATTAATCGTTAAAAACACATTTACAAAACCACTCTTCGTCTTAGCATGGTTTAAGGTCTACCTGGAGAGTCTAGAGTTAGAAGAAGAGGAGATGATGATTCGAGAGAACCTGTTTCCGTCTCATCCTGCTCAGCTATATCAAATATCTCCCACCTACAGAGTTAGTTCCGTTCTAGTTTGACATTTTTATGATTTTTTTATGCGTGGGAAGAAATAAACCTTGATTAAAACTATAATTTCCTAATTTCAACAAAGGAATTGAGTAGTCCCTATATCTTTGCAAACTGATGGTGTAAACCTTTGATATTTCAAACTTAGACTATTTGGTTTGATAGAGAATTCTAAAGTTTGAAATATCAAAGATATGCAACATCGGTTGGCAAAAATATAAGACAAGGAAATTAAAACATGAGAGTTTTAAGACTACATCTGAGGCTTAATTTTATCAAAAATAAAACTTTCAATTGATTTAATTCTTTTCTGTTCAAGTTCATAAGCTCTCATATTCTTTTATAAACATTAAATGATATTAATAGGGACTCCTGTGGCAGTAAAAAAAAAAATTGAGAATGAATTAGTTAACAATATTAAATTTCAATCGTGAAAAATGGTTCTTTAAAGGGACAGACCGGCTGAGTTGAACTGAGTATGCAGTGTTGTGGAAAGCTTCTTTAGGATTCACTTGAAACATATAAAACTTTTTAAAGATCTGTAAATCCTGTGTGGATACGTTTTCAGAATTAGTTTATTTAATTATATAGCCGGTCTGTCCCTTTAAAATTTGTTCTCTACATTATAATTTAAAAATAATCTTGCATCTTGTTTTAAAGAAATTTCAAAACTTATAAAGTCTTCATGTAAAGCGAGTAGTAGTTAATGTAAAATATGTTCTCTGCATTTTTGATGTCAAAGGTTAAACAATTTCTACCTTTTGGGTTGGCTAAAATATAGCTCTAGTTCTAGTAGAGAAGAGTTTTTAATTGAAGCCTGAATAATTTTACTTTCGCAGTCATCATCTCCATCCTCATCCTCATAGATATCCTCGTAATCCTCGTAATAATCCTCAAAATCTTCAAAATCCTCTTCTTTCGTGAACTCGTTTTTTCCCCTGTCATCTTCAATTCCATTCTTAACGTGATCTTGTTTTACAACACTGTTTTTTAATTCAGATTTTACTGTTTCTCTTTTCTTCTCGTTTAGACCTGGGTTTTCTTCCTCGGGGATTGTTCTAAAACAAAGCTGAACTGTTTACTCGCCTAAAACCCTAATTTTCTAATCCTTCTATCTTTGCAACCTAATGATGTGGTCTTTGATATTTGATGTTTTCGGCTAGATTAAGTAGTCTAAGTTTAAAATATCAAAGGTTTACACCATCACTCGTTAGGTTGATATACGGATTAGAAAATTAGAGTTGCTTAGAGTTGGTGGCGAGTTCGCAGTTTCTTTATTTACATTTTTAGTAATTTCTTCTGTTAATTTCGTCCTTTTTTATTTCATTTTATTCATTGGTTTTCTAAAATCAATTTTATCTTTGGAAATTTGTAGAATACTTATTCTATTTCAATTAATTTTGTCATTTGTGGCAAGTTTTTTACTGTTCAGTTTCTTTGTAATTTATCTTAATTTGAATGATTCATTTTAGTTTGATTAAAATAATAAATATTATTGTTCTGTCCTTGTTAATCATTATTAATTCTTGGATTTAGATTTTAAACGATACAAAGAAAAAATTTTAAATTGAGTTTTTCTCTCCTCCATACCTGAACCCGCTGTCAGAGCTGAGATCTGGAGAACCAGGAATATCTTGTACCTTCAACACAGAACTATCATCAGACTTTTCCGGACAATCTTGATCTTGATGTTCCTCCTGACCTGAACCCTTAACCCGGAGTTGAAAATTGAGTTCAGAGTGTCCACCGTCTTCTTCTCCAGGTTTCTGATAATCTCCAGGGTGTGCTCCATCCTCATCTCCAGGTATCTGATGAACTAAATCAACCGTGTTCTCTCCTTGGTCAGAGTTAAACTTGGAGTCGATCATGTGCTCCTCCACCTGTATGTTGAGCACCTTGAGTCCGTCCATGATCAGGGTTCTCAGGGATCTGATCTTCTCAAGAGCTCTCTGAAACTCTGCCTTACTTCGAACTCGTCCCCGTTCATGCAGAACTGCTTTGGAAACCCTAGATATATTCAACTAGATTTCAAATTCAGTGATGGTGATGGACCAAACCTCTGTAGAGTAAAAAAAGTAGATGTTAGTTCCACATTTATTGAAAATATATTTTGGGTCTGGGTTGACCCTGGTCAGTTCTAACGATAATAACCATCAAAATAGATATAAATTTTTTTTTAAAAAATTTGCTAAAAACCACAAGGAAATAAACAAACAAAAAGGATTTAAAATTTTTTTTAGAATTTTATTAATATTGAATTACAGAATTTAAAAATTGCAATAAGAAAATTCGCAATTTCAAGTTCTGGTCTAATTTTCAAGGAAATGTTTTTTTAAATCCTTTAGTTCCCTTCTTCATGCTATATTGTAAAGCTATAAATATACGCTGTTCAATTGAAAACTGAGGAGCCATTGAAAAACAATTTTCTTTAAAAATTTCACCAGAACTGAAATTGTCTGTGATTCTGTTCTTCAATATTTTCAAAATTTTAGAATTTGATAGAAATAAGATACATACACATTTTTGCTTTTCTGAACTTTAGATTTTGAGAGAGAAAAAGTTTATTTTTGGGCCATTGGAGTACCAAAAAAAAATTCCAAAAAATAATTCCATAAAATATTGAAAAAAATTTAGAATTTTTTTGACTCACCCTGTATTTCTGTGATACTTATTTTTTAGCCCGATTAGGTGTAAATTGAAAAATGAATTTACAAATTTAAACATTTTTATTTGAGAATAAAAAATATATTTGAAACCTTTTTCGTCAAAAACATCTCAACGCCTACGTGATTTTTCATGTAAAGATAAATTTATAAATTTACCAGTATAATATTGAACAGCATATAAAAATTTAGGTTTAAGACCTGTTCGTAGAGACAAGAGCCTCAACCATGGTCATCCTGTAGTCCTTACTCCTAGTGTACTCTGATACTAGGTCTAGAAATATTAAAGTTTAATCCTTACTCCTGGTGTACTCTGATACTAGGTCTAGAGATATTAAAGTTCAATCCTTACTCCTGGTGTACTCTGATACTAGGTCTAGAGATATTAAAGTTTAATCCTCACTCCTGGTTTATTCTGATATTAGGTCTAGAGATGTTAAAGTTTAATCCTTACTCCTGGTGTACTCTGATACTAGGTCTAGAAATATTAAAGTTTAAACCTTACTCCTGGTGTACTCTGATACTAGTTCTAGAAAGGTAAAGTTTAATCCTTACTTCTGGTGTACTCTGATACTATGTCTAGAGAGATTAAAGCTTAATCCTTACTCCTAGTGTACTCTGATACTAGGTCTAGAGATATTAAAGTTTAATCCTTACTCCTGGTTTATTCTGATACTAGGTCTAGAGAGATTAAAGTTTAATCTTTACTCCTGGTATAATCTGATACTAGGTCTAGAGAGATCAAAATTTAATCTTTACTCCTTGTATACTTTGATACTAGGTCTAGAGAAATTAAAGGTTAATCTTTTCTCCTGGTATACTCTGATACTAGTTCTAGAGAGATTAAAGTATAATCCTTACTCTTGGTATACTCTAATACTAGGTCTTGAGAGATTAGGTTTAATCTTTACTCCTTGTGTACTCTGATACTAGGTCTAAAGAGATAAAGGTTAATCTTTACTCCTGGTATACTCTGATACTAGGTCTAGAGAGATAAAGGTTAATCTTTACTCCTGGTATACTCTGATACTAAGTCTAGAGAGATTAAAGTTTAATCTTTACTCCTGGTATACTCTGATACTATGTCTAGAGAGATTAAAGTTTTATCTTTACTCCTTGTGTACTCTGATACTAGGTCTAGAGAGATAAAGGTTAATCTTTACTCCTGGTATACTCTGATACTAGGTCTAGAGAGATCAAAGTATAATCCTTACTCCTGGTATACTCTGATACTAGGTCTAGAGAGATTAAAGTTTAGTCTTTACTCCTGGTATAATCTGATACTAGGTCTAGAGAGATAAAGGTTAATCTTTACTCCTGGTATACTCCGATACTAGGTTTAGACTGGTTTAAGTTTAATCTTTTCTCCTGGTATACTCTGATACTAGGCCTAGAGAGATTAAAGATAATTTTAATCAAGGTAACTCTGATTCTGTAGGTCCATTAATCCTTTCTCTGGGTAAATTGGGTTGTTAGTTTTATAGAGATATCCTTTAATCCTCAACCTGGTTTAAGATAAATTTATATTTAAAGTAAAATCTGGGTACCGTACCGTTTCAACATACAATCCATTTCATTTTTCATGAACACTTTTTAGAATAAAATATTTTAACTAACATTAAAAATTGGACGAAAAAGTTTCAATGGTTTTCTATTGTATTTACCTTTTATTTGTTTCTTCCTTGAATCTGTGCTGAAAACTAGATTGGACAAACTAAACAAATTCTCTTCTATATTCCTGAAACAAGATTTATTTGATCGGAATGATTACATCTATCTGGTTTATATTCCAGGATGTCAACACCCCTGTGATCCCTGTTGGAAGAATCTCTACAATCTCTATAAATCCTTATGATGGTAAACACACATTTTACAATGTGTTGTTTCAGAGAAAATGAGACACGGGATACCTTTGTATTAGTTGCCTCATTCCGTTAAACTGATATTGACAACCGAGAGCTGTCACCCCTACCAGCTCCACACGCAGACCTTACTCTCCATCCTTCAAGAGAGGAGGACAGGAGCGAACCCACACCCTTTATCTCTGAGCGAGTTCGCGCCCCAGGAGCATCGAACCTTACCTCAGTGCTTATATATATATACTCTTTATACCAAAAGTCTTATTCTTATGGATTGGATTTAAAGACATATCTAAACTTGACTGAAACAAGACGTATTTTTCATCCGTTTAATGGAGTTTAACGCCATTTCTAAACTTGACTAATTTAATTCAAATATGGCCAGTTTTGGCTGAATTTAGGCACTTTTCAACGAATCTCAGGCCATTCAGGCGGTGTTGTTTTTTATTAGGGTTTAAATTTGATCATTTACAGTTTAAATATCTAACTTTTAGAATCGTCTTTAGTTTTGATATGAAAATTTAATGTATAAGCGCGGTAATTAAATTCAGTGTTTAAGCGTGCTAGCTAAAATAAGTGTTCAAGTGTGCTAGTTAAATTCAATGTTCAAGCGCGCTAGCTAAATTCAGGAAACGGGTATGAACGCTCAGTTAAACGTTGTACTATTAAATTTCTTATCAAACTATCTTTACTAAACTATAACTAATTATACCTTGAAAGGGTTAGAGATTTTTCCTGTAGGATTCTACATTCCTCTCTCCATACATCTAAACATAATAAATGTAGGATTCTACACTCCTCTTTCCATACATCTAAACATAATAAATGTAGGATTCTACACTTCTCTTTCCATACATGACATCTAAACATAATAAATGTAGGATTCTACACTCCTCATACATCTAAACATAATAAATGTAGGACTCTACACTCCTCTTTCCATACATCTAAACATAATAAATGTAGGACTCTACACTTCTCTCGCCATACATCTANCCCTCCCTCACTGTAAGGGTTCGTGTAGACCAAACCCCCCATCCTCCCCTATCCAACGTGGCTGGTCATCTCTCCGAGGGAAGGGGGGTCAGTCAGCTGCCGGAACAATGGGCCAGGGCAGCTTGGCAAGGTGCAGGTTTAGTTGACCATCTTAGGCGGCTTCTATGATCCTGTTTTTTTCAACATATTCCAATTCTTGTTCTCTTTTAACAGGGGTGAGAAAGGTGGGGTGCCAGGATATAAAAGGAGACCTAACAATAAATAAGTTGAGTTGTGTGGAAGCCTCTTAGAAAGAAGGGACCTGCTTCGGGAAGGAGGGGTTAGGAGGGTAAAAATATGGGGCCGCCAGAGTTTGAAGTCTGAGGAAGTAAAGAGTCACAGAGTCCAGGAGAGCGACCAGATTCAAGAGGAGCAAGAGTCAGAGTTTTCAAATCTGAGAGTCCCATATCCAGTCCTCAATCCCCTTTAAGTGGAATTGTAATTTATGTTTCCCTTTAATTCCATTTTAATGCAATATAATCTTAATACAGCTTTTGTACTTTCACATTATATCCAATAAACGTCAAAACGGCTGAACCGATCGGGCTCAAATTTTGTGTGGGACCTCACATGACCCAAGGGATAAACCTCAGAATTAGAAAAAGTGGTTTTCAAAAGTTTTTGATTTTCCTAAAATATTAAAACTCCAGGAAAACAAAATTGCAAATGCGCAAAACATTATATTTCTGTTTTATCGTAAAGAAAATGCTGAAAGATTGAGCAACCATTAAAAGTTTAAATAAAAGATGGGCGCGAATCGCCATTATAGCCCAGTACATCTAATTATAACAAATGTAGGATTCATTTCTCATCTTTCCAAACATCTAAACATAATAAACTTAGGTTTTTCCACACCACATATGCTTTATGCATATTGTAGGCATAATGCATGCATATTGCATAATTAAGGCTTTCAGAGTGCATTTGCGTTCATAGTCATCTTAAGAGTTTTAAATTTAAAAATAAACGACAATGCAGAATTCAAAGATTTTTCTTATTTTGTTTGTGACGGACAAGCCAAACATACATAAATGTGAAATGACAAACAAAAAATACAAAATGAGGAGAAAATGTGGAAAATCAAGAGATAAACAATAAACATTCCTAATATGTACAGGGTGTCCCAATAATATGAATAATATGAATTAGCATTGTAACATCTAATTTCAATAGAGATAATATAATTATGTCTGCTAGAAGTTATTTAATGAAAACGGTAAATGGTTGTAAAGATGTGTCCATAATGTCTCCTCAAGATGAACAGTGAATACGGACATGTTTACTCTGTTTGTATACTATTATAATTTCCTTGATTTACTAAGTACAACCGTACGCAGTCTAAACATAAACAAACAAACTATAAACATAGCAGACGAAAATTTTACGGATCACAGCTTTCTCAGTAGGTATCACTATACTAAATCTAAGAATTATTTAAAAAGACTATATCGAATTCGTCACTGAATTCCCATGTTTTTTGGGACACCCTGTAGTTGGACTTTACTTTAACTGTAATCATTTTATGTGACCATCAGAAACTTTAAATGAATATGGAGGATGAAATAGAAATAAAAATCAAATAAAACATGATTTGGGGAAAACTTTTTTGGAGAGGTGGGCGCGGGGGGGGGTAATTCCGCTTGGTCCTACCTTGGTGCTGTCTAATCAGACCAGGTTCTATATTCTTTCTCTGAACTCTACGAAGTTTAGATTTGTTGAGAAGAAGCGCCCTGAATTCATCTTTATCCTTCTCTTCTATTCGCCTTAGAAAATTTTCAGCAGAGTTGTTTCTTGAATTTTTCTGACGAAACATTGAGTTCAATCCCTTTACCTCTAATATAAATACATCAATGATGATGATATTGAAATCAACTGTATTACTCCAAAATCAATATTAAAATTAAATCTACTATTTTATTCTTAAAATCGAAATCAAATTTACTACTCTAAGATCGATCTTCAAATCAAATCTATTATATAACTTAACATCGAAATCAACACTATCACTTTAAAATAAATATTAAATTCAAATCTATAATCTTGATCAATTTTTTAAAACTTAATATCAAAATCAGCTCGATCTTCTTATACTCTATAATCAATCTTAAAATAAAATCTATTATTCTAAACTTAAAATCAAAATCAACTCTATTACTCTAAGATCAATCTTAAAATAAAATCTACTAAATTCTAAAGTTAACAGCGAACAGTGTTTACTGTTCACAATATCAGAGAGATGGTTATTCTCAAAGTTTAAATAATAATATGTATTTTACCTTTTGTTTTTAACCCAGTCTTGAAATTAAAGTTTCCCGTTTTCACCAGATTTGGAAGTTTGAGCGCTTTTTCTACATTTCAGTTATTCATATTTTCTGTAAATATAACCTTTGGACAATATCATATTGGAGCGGAAAAAAGATAATGTTTTTAAAATTACTTTTAACAAATCATTATTTTTTAAAACGAGAAAAAATTACTGTATATTTTTTTTAAATTAATTTATTTCAAACAATGCATAAAGCTTAATTATCTTTTTCATTCTTTTCACGCAAACATTCCCTTTAGAGCCTTTAAAAACACATTTTGTATAATTATGAAAGAAATTCAGAACTTTTGTGTTGGCACCTTGAGATCAAGTATTGATCTCTCCCTATCTTGAGATCAAGTATTGATCTCTCCCTATCTTGAGATCAAGTATTGATCTCTCCTTATCTTGAGATCAAGTATTGATCTCTCCCTATCTTGAGATCAAGTATTGTATCTTGAGATCAAGTATTGATCTCTCCCTATCTTGAGATCAAGTGTTGATCTCTCTCTATCTTATAGATCTACCGGATAATTTTATCCGTGTTAACTTCAATTGAGGGATTTACCATTGATCCTTAAATTTAAAAGTGCTCACATTGGATGTGAAGATCAAATTCGATCTCAGAAAGGAACTGAGTTTTTGCCACAAACTCAAATTTTATAATCTCTGTATCTTTGCCATCTGATGGTGTAAACCTTTGATCTTACCGACTTTTTAGTTTAAAATATCTATGGTGTGCGACACAGTCTTTTTGAATTACGGATTTAATTTCGAAAAGTACAAAAATCAGATTATTATATTTCGTTAATGATTAGACGATCCATATTTGAGGTTCATACTGAATGAAATTGAACGGAAATAAAAACTAAATTGAAATCACTTTAAATGGGAAAAGTCAAACTTAAAAGCTTTGTGATTATTATTTGAAAACAAAATTCAAACTTGTTGAATTCATTTTTTTTGGATATAAACGAAAAATCTAGTGATATTGTAACAGGAAAATGATCAGATTACAATATATTAAAATCTAAATAAAACATTGTTAAGAACTGAACAGAGTTTACTAAATAATAATTTAAGAATGAACCAATAACAGGGTTTACTTAATAATGATATAATTAAGAATGAACCAATATATAAAAATGAACAGGGTTTACTGAATAATAATATAAGAATGAACCAATATATAGAAGTGAACAGGGTTTACTGAATTATAATATAAGCATGAACCAATATATAGAACTAAACAGGGTTTACTGAATAATAATATAAGAATGCACCAATATATAGATTTTAACAGGGTTTACTGAATAATAATATAAGAANTAGGAGGGGGAAGTGGTAATCAGAAGCTTGATTATCGTATTTGGGAAAAACTTCATTCTGTTTCTTTGTACTATGTAAAGCCAGGATTAAGTTTGACATCGGCTGTTTCACTCAATTTAATTTTAAATTTTTAAAGCTTTCTATTCTCGGGACTTCAACACATTTTAACATTTGATTTTTTATATTTTTTATTAGGATCTCATCTTTGATTAGGAATAAAGAATAGTAGAACAATTAAGCCTTTATTTTAAAGCCAACCTAAGAATATTTTTATGATTTTAACCTCTCTGGCTCTTCTGAACCGAGTTTTTGCATTCATGCAAATTCATATTTTTAGCAAATTTTTACTGTTGCGCAAAAACCTAATCATGAATAAAGAAATTTGAAAAAAGCTTTTAAAGATATTAAAAATTATGTTCGGTAAAACCTTTGCTGACAAATTTATCTACACGCCTGGTTAGACTTGATGATGTAAACCTTTGATTTTTCAAACTTAGATTGTTTGAGCTGACAGAACACAAAGGCTTTAGGTGCGACTGCAGTGCAGCACTCTGACCGAAAGAATATTAGGTTTTAGTGGAGTGTACTGTAAATTTTCTTATGAAGTACCGGACTAACCTGTAAGCAGCTTAGGCAAGTTATAGAGTACACATGCGCACTGTGTGAGGCAAAACGGGACTGTACACCAAATGAATAATTACCTTGGAGTCACTTTAACGCCCAAACTTAATTAACAATTAAAGTATTCAGTCCTTTTCTAGAAAATCATTTTGAACTTTGGTTACGATGTCCAAAAGTATTGGTTACGATGTCCAAAAGTATTGGTTACGATGTCCAAAAATTGTTTACTAACATTTTAAAAGGAGAAAAAAACAAAGAATTTTTATGATCATTGATTATGAAAACAAAGAATTAAGGTGATTTTCAACATAAATCTTTATTTCTGGTAAACGTCTATGTAGACAGGGGCACCTTCATTTTAGAACGTTAACACTTCAAAATCTGATAGATACTTTGTGAATTAATATATTAAAGGGACAGTAAAGGAAAAATAAAAGGGGGTATAGACTGAAAGCTAATCACTTTAGCTCTCGATCGCGACCCATGAAAGTTTTATCTGATGTTCCTATCTCGAGAAATTGATTTACAATAAGATTTCTAAATTTTACATATATGAACTTTCGTATGATTTTAACACAGTTTTATATCAATTTCTCGAGATAGTAACATCAGATAAAACTTTCATGGGTCGCGATCAAGAGCTAATGTGATTAGCTTTCAGCCTATACCCCCTTTCATTTTTCCTTTACTGTCCCTTTAAGAAACAATATTTTTAATGTTAATCATATAATTATATCTGTTTTGAAAAAAATCTAAATTGTGAAGACGACATTTTTCTTTTACAGTTCTCGTAATTTTTCTGAGTACGTTACTTCCAAACACTAAGCACAATATGGTCGACCAGATGAAGTCTCCGACTGTGTTTGTCCTAATAATCTATCTAACAGATAGTAATCTTACGTGAGACATCATCTGGTTAAACGATTGTCCCCCAAAGTACGTCTTTAAGACGGCCACTGTTCATACAAGGAACGGACTCTGAGGAATGTAAAAAAAAGTAAATTAAACTTTTAATATCTTTTCAATTATTGGAAACAATTTCACAATGTTGGGGTTTAACCCGGATACTCATACAACTCACTTTTTTCCACGCTTAATTTATAGATTTTAAACCTAAAAAACTATATTTTGGTTAAAATAAAGGAAACAACAGTGATATCCAGAAAACTCTGAAATAGAAAAAAACGACTTTTAAAATCCAGTTATAACTTCAAAAACCAATGGGCATGAGACTCATCAATTGTGCAGTGTAAACAGACACATTTCACTAAATTAATGAATCTATTTGCGCTGTAACATAAAATACACTTATTGATTATTGCTATGAGATCGTCTTCCTATTCCATTGTTTTCTGGTTTTCATGCATAGAGTAATAAAACGAAGAGGTGAAGCTTATGCTCAGATGTACACAACCGACCACCCTTTTAATTAATTAAAAGAGTGGTCGGTTGTGTACATCACGATATGTTTACGTGTCTAACGCTGTCCACTTGTATATAGAGTGATCGTATTTCTAAGGGGGATTTTATGGAATTGACCAATTTTTAGATTTTGAGGGATCTACTCTGGAGTCTTCCAACTTTAAAAGATCTAGCCATGCACAATTTTTTGGTATTTTGAAAAAACTAACATTTTTACAAGAACAATTGTTTTTGCATTTAGTCATACTTTTATTAAAATAAACAAACAACTTAACTTAAATGTACTGCAGTATACAATCCTGTGTTTACATTCCATATTAAGTGTCTATCTAATTATCAATACTAATATTCAAATATCTACATAAAATCACCCTTAGAAATTCGATCACTCTATATACAAGTGTACAATGTTAGATACGTAAACATATCGTGATGTATACAACCGACCACTCTATTAATTAATTAATAGGGAACCCGAGATGGAATTTAAAGAATTTGAGCCGCGGTTTAAATCCGCCAAATCCCGGTTTAAATTAAGCGCCGGCTTAAATCTTGAAACATTTGATACAATTTTAAGTGGAGCCAACCATATTTAAACCGCGGCTTAAATTTAAACCGCCGCTCAAATTCTTTAAATTCGGCCACTGGTTGTGTACATCTGAGCTAAGCTTTACCTCTTCGTTTTATTACTCTATGTTCCAGATGTTATTCGTTTCAAACCTGCACGTTCAAACCAGTTCCAAACCAGACAGCAGTTGCTTTTGTTCTACATTAGTTTTAAATTCTTACACAAAGCTTTTTATGTTTAAGAAAAACTTGAGAACGACTAGAAAATCATATTAAATTAACTTTTATCTAACACGAATTTAAAAACGATCAAAATCATGTTGAAAGTCAGTAACAAAATATATTTTTAAATCGATTCTTATCTATATATTTGATCGGAAAGGTTTAATATGTATCACGTTTTTACAAAATAATTCTGACTGTTAGAAAAGCCTACCATTTGGGACGACATTTATTATCTTCCTGAAGCTAAACAATCAGTGTCCGAATTTTAAAAATGTAAGTCGCGTCTCAAATCCCCCGAAAACCGGTTATAATTGAGCGCCAGCTTAAATCTTGAAAAGGAGTTGTGTCTTTGCCACAAATCCCAATTTTCTAATACCTATATCTCTAAAACCAGATGGCGTAAACCTTTGATATTTCAAACTTTAATTATTTGATCCATCAGAATTCATATTTTGAAATATCTAAGGTCTACAACATTCGGTTGTAGAGATAAGGAGAATAAGAAATCAGAGTTTGTGGTAATGACTCAATTCCTTTGAAGACAATTTTAAGAGGAACCAACCATATTTGAGCCGCGAATTAAAATTAGGCCGCGGCTCAAATTCTATAATTCGGCCTCAGGTCCAAAAATTTTTAATGGACTGCAAAGAGAACTAAAGTGTATACTGTATATACTGAAAACATTAAGAAAATGGATCCCTCCCTTGCTCTAAGATCCTTTGCAGACTTTACATAGTTCAGATGCTCCTACATATTAGACTATAGATAGACTGGACGAGAGAAGTTGATCAAGGGAAGAAAAGCATCGATTGATGAAATTAGAGGACAGAAAGGACTAAAGCTGGTTACTAATAAGTCTGACTAGGTGAACGACTAACGGAATACAAACTGTTAGAACAACTAATCGGAGTTTGAAATATCAAAGATTTACACCGTCAGGTTACAAAGGTAAAGTATTAGAAAATTTGAGTTTGCGGCAAAGACTGAATTCCTTTCCTTCCAAATTCTTTTCTCAAAACATATTTATAAATAAGCTTTTCGTCGCCTAAACAGAACAATAAACCTGAATGAAGAAATCCGCAGTGTATCTAATATTTTAATATTTTGTGTGTTGGGAACTACAGGGTGTCCCACGAAACATGACAATAGCAAGACGACTTGAAAGTCGTCTTTGATATATCAATTTATTTGTGACATTTAGTCTTCTATTTACTTTAACATGTATGATTCTTAAAACAATTATCACATAATTCTCCTATCCTTGGCATTTCCAAAAAGTGGTCTGCGTTTTTTGTGCTTTCAATATTACCGGAGATATAAAGAGTTTGGTTCAGATTTCAATTTTGTTAAATAAAAGCAAAATTGTCGAAATCTGAACGAAATTCTTTATATGTCGGGCAATATTAAAAGCACATAAAAGGCAGACCACATTTTGGAAATGGCAGGACTAGGGGAATTTTGTGATTATTATCTGTAGAAATTTACTTCTAAAATTAGGTTGACAAATAAACACAGCAAATTATATCAAAAATCAAGACGACATTCAAGTCCTCTTGCATACTGTCATGTTTCGTGGGACACCCTGTAACAAATGTTATAATGTAGGAAAATATGAAGAAATCTTATTAGTTTTGCACAGAGACATGTTTATTTTTTTCCAATACATTATTTTATCACTTTTGTATCACATATTTTGTCTATTTGATTTTAATCATTGAAAAACTTGTTTTTACAAGGGTTACAACTACACTTAATACAATAATATTGTTTTGAAAATTTGAATAGTGACATCATACACATATCGTTTCAACGATTTTTCTTTGTTTGTTTGTACAAAAAATGCATTGGTAAAAATTAAATGATTTTTGCTGTAGCTAGAAGAAAAATGTACATTGAGATTATTGGTATGTACGAAAGTGTGCTTCTACCTTGATGAGAAAAAAATACCAAAAAAAACATGAATTGTGGAATCAAACGGTCTATTCAACATTGATGTTTATTATAAGTTCTGTTGTTGGCAGATAAATATCCAGGAGGAATTGGAAATAATAGGATAGAGCATGTTTTTTCTGTACAGTTGAAAACCAGAAAATAGCGGAATGATTATTATCTTTGTTATTTTTTTTCACTGGAATTGTAATTGCGGATTAAATAAGTTGCAACTGAATCAAATCTGTTTTAACACATTAAAAATCAATAAATTATTTGAAGCGAGAATGAAGATTTAACACTCAATACTGTTAAATATAATTTCAACATTTTTATTCCATATAAATTCCATTTTGTTTTGTAACTTTAAAATTTCCCAACTTATGATTGCTTTGGGATTAAATTGTCACGTGTCAAGCTTAGGTCAATGATACAGTCAAAAATGAAAAAAGATGATTTAAATTTTGTTTTATTTTTTAATGTTTCTGTGTATATGTTTCAGTTCACAGCTTAATTTCATTTTTTTATTCTATTGTTTTGTAAAGGATGTATATGGAGCTTTTTTTTGACCATCAAAAACACTTTCAGCTGATTTAAAGAAAGAGGGAAGATTTTTTTTTGCAAATAAAGAAAACAAAATATGCACCAAATTTTTCTTTAAGATTTGTTAATAAATAATATGAAATTTAATAAGTTATAAACTTGAAAGAAATTGCTATTGTAATTTAATGGGACCCTCTATGCGAATATGGCAATGCCCGATTCACATTGAAATCCTTCAAAGCTTTGTCTGATCAAGCCACTGCGATTTAATGGTCTCACGCTCTCAAGCAAAAATCGTTGAGAATTTTGCCAATAACTTCTAAAAAACCACATCTAACAACAAGTGCTTTACAGTGCTAAAATGTACATGTAAAGGGCTACAGAAAAGCATAAGTGAGTTAGAGCGGTAAAATTTAAGCTTAGGGCGTTGCGACACTTCAAAGTCAGCCCTGTCTTAAAAATTGATGAGACTGTTTATAAGGAGGCTGAATCTATGTGAAGCATGAAATTAGATTTCTATGTTTATGATGTTGAAAACTATTCATTTGCAGTTGTGCTTTCTCCACAATTTAAAAGTGACTTGCGCATTTCTCTTGCAGGGAAACATCTTAGAATTATCTGAATTAAAAAATTTTTATTTAGAAAAATGACAATATCTTCCACATTATTGACCGTGTAAAGGTTTTAAGGTTACCGATATGAATCAGGCATTGCCATTTTTGCATGGAGGGTCACTTGAAATTACGCTTTCAGTCTACAGTCTCTTTATGTGAAAACATTAATACCTCTCAAAAAAATATAAAATGCAAGACTGGTTAAAATGTCATGTCTAAGTCCTATAATGTTCAGTTGTACTCAAAGGTTTAATATGCTCATAACTTAATATTTCTGACGTATGATCACTCAAATCCAGCTAGCCATGAGCCAGCCAATTACAAGAAAGAATCTTTTTAAATGGACCGTATTTTTTCGTAAGTTTTTTTCCTAAAATGTCCGTTTATTTTTGTAAAATCTTTGCAATATTTTTTCGCAAGTGAACAAATGCGAAAAAGAGCAATTTTCGGCGAAACGTTTTTTCTTTTTCGCCGGAAACCCCACCTAGGACATTGCCTTGTTAATACCTTGCCTTGTTTAGATATTGACTTGTTGGTACATTGCCTTGTTGGAGCATTGCCGTTAGGACATTGCCTTGCTCACCCCAGACTAACCAAAGTTAGAATCATTCGGTTTCTTTTGTTTAAAATCATACGCGTTTTGGTCTATAATGAAACAATCTTTAAACTTACGGATTTGTTTGTTTCATACCTTTCAGTCAAAAAGTATATGCCGGCAAAAAAATATTTAAGAAAAAAGGCTAACAAATTATGTTTCATAGAACAAATTGTGATCGAAAGTCACAGCTTTCTGGAATATTGACAGAACCGTTAAACCCACGTGTGCTGGTACCTTGCCTTGTTGGAGCATTGCCTTGTTAGGACATTGCCTTGCTGGTACCTTGCCTTGCCCGAAAACGTGTCTGTACAAGTTGCTTAAGGAACAAACATTTAAAAATATAATTATCAATTTAAAAAAGATGGTTCCCAACTGTTTTAATTAACTTTGTTCAATATTCTGGATTTCTGATTGGATTTCAGCTGTTGATGATGTGGATGCTGTTGTTGATGAAGATAGTGAGGAAGATGTAGCTGAATCTGCAGATGAAGCTGAAAAAAAATATTTTGAAAATTGTAAACTGAAAGTATCTGCTCAGCTTTAGTTTATTTTGAGCAATAGTAATTACTTATCTGTTTGAAATTAACATTTCTTGTCAGAGTTCTTATTATAGTTCTTATCAGAGTATCTCATCAGAGTTCTTATCAAAGTTCTTATCAGAGTTCTTTTCAGAGTTCTTATCAAAGTTCTTATCAGAGTTCTTATTATAGTTCTTATCAGAGTTCTTATCAGAGTTCTTATTAGAGTTCTTATTATAGTTCTTATCAGAGTTCTTATCAGAGTTCTTATCAGAGTTCTTATCAGAGTTCTTATCAGAGTTCTTACCAGAGTTCTTATCAGAGTTCTTTTCAGAGTTATTTCTTATCAGAGTTCTTATCAGAATTCTTATCAGAGTTCTTATCAGAGTTATTTCTTCAATGTTCAACCTGTTGTTAGATGACTAAACCCTCCGGCCCGTCCTTGACCCCAATCTACAAGAAGTTGACCCATGATAAACAGAACTGAAATCAACATGATCATTCCGATCAAAATCAAGAACCATCTGAAAATAAAAATAAACATTGAACAGTTTAATTTAATTAAACCTTCAACATATTTATAAGTGATTCATAAAAATTATATTGAGATCTAGAGATGCACCTATTTAACATTTATCTGAGAAACTATCGAGTAAAACTCTTCGTTATTCTAGACAAATATCAGTCATTTTCTAATTCGTTTGGGCTGTTGGACTGTTATAAAATGTAAATTTCAGATATAAAAAAATGACGATATCTCCAAAGTTATAAAGATAAAGAGTTAATCGGTGTGAAACGTTGATAATCTCAAAGTTATCATGAGTTTTAGGTTGTCATTGTTCATTTAAGTAAAAATAATCTTAAATTTTTTAAAAACGATTTTTCAAAAAGTTCAATCCTCTAAACTAGCCTGAAAAATGGGAAACATTTTGGTTCTGGGGGAAGCTGCTCCCTTTTCTTATTTTTTGATGGAGGAGTTGGGAGTTCAGGCCAGGTCACGTGATTTTTATTCTTTCCAGTCTTCTAAAAAATATAAAATACTCATGCTGTTTAAAACTTTTCTAAAAAAGCCAACCAGCGAATCATTTTTTAGAAAAAACTTTTAAAACAAATAGCTTGATATTCTTAAGATCTTATCATTTTTACTACTAGCATTTTTTCTAAAGCTACAAACAAAATTATATATCTAAACATATTTCTATTACATTTAACGCATAACATATAACATAATATGTGTAGTGTTTATTTTAACCAATTTCGCAAAGCAAATTAAAGTAAGAAATTTTAAGGAATTGTTAGTTTCGATTAGTTAAGATTAGAAAAGATTAGATAAGATTAGATAAGATTAGAAAAGATTAGATAAGATTATAAAATATAAGATAAGATTAGAAAAGATTAGATAAATTAGATAAGATTAGAAAAAGGTTAGAAAACCCAAACAATGATTGCATAAAAACTTTATTCTATAAAAACTGTAAAATATTCTTGTTACTCTTAGCATTTATTTGAACTAATTTCGCTAAGTAAACAAAAACGAAGAGTTTTTGAAGACTTGTTAGATTCAATTAGATAAATTTATATAAAGTTAGAAAAGATAGGAATGAAAGACCATAGTTGGAGGGGGTAATATCTAAATTAAAAAGAGGGGATGGGTAGTATCGAGAGGGAAGATGGGGAAAGGGGAGAGGAGAGGGGGGGGGGACAATTTATTAGATTCTATAATTTCTGTTTACTCAGCAATATTATCAAATCAATTAGTTAATCAAAAAAGAATACAATTAAGATAACTAAAGCAATATTATTATCAGAGGTGAAACTGAACGTGATAAAAAATTGAGATTTTCGTCCCAAATAACAGTGTTATATAAACAATTTTGAAGATTTGGTTCAGATTGGTCTATATCTGTTTTAACAATTTTGAAATGTTTATGTACTTGTTTTAATACATTGTGCTATTTTTAAATATAACAAGTCTCTCAATTCCAATTCTAATTGTTTTTTTTCTATTTTCTATTTTTTTGAGATAATCTTGGCATCCGTGAACCAATTAAACTTTATAATATTCAGTTAATTTCGCATTATATCACGATGATTACTTTTTAGCACTATATCACTGCTATTAAGAATCTGACCGTTCACTAAGCATGAATGAGAAAGCATCGAATATTAAAATAAATGCTTTTTAACTTACTTTACTAATAAATTGTTGTGTAGAGTTGAAAGGTGAGTTAGAAAGAGAAGGTTCATCCTGTTCTAATCTGAACAAATTTTTTTACGTGGGATTAATTCCATTAATTGAATAATAATTAATAAATTAATAATTATAAAATTACTGAAATATTTGATTTATTGATTGATTGAAACCTGTATTTGGCTTGAACAGCGTAATCTACCTCCTTCTCTTCTGCTCGGATCAGGTTGTGTCTATGTTATGCAAAATTAATAAAATGAGAAAGTAGAAAAAATATTCAAAAGGCCTCTGTCTCATAAATTTTACTGGAAGGGTCTGATTCATTTTTTGTTTTGCCTTATAAAATATATTTGTATAATGCAGATTGCACCAGCTGATTAAAAGTTAGCCCGGTACTTGAAATGATCCGGAGTTTACAGCTGGAGACGCAATTTGATATCCTGCTGCAAGAGAACAATGTAGGAATGATCAGAATTTAATTCTTTTAAACCTATAAAAACGACGTTATCTTCCACATTATTGATCAGATAATGGTTTCAAGGGTAACGTTGTAAATCCGACATCCTATTTAGCAAAAATTTGAGCTTACAACAGTTTTTCAACAGACTAAAGTCACGTTTATTAATTTATTTTCAAAAGCAGTATCAACAAACTATTCAGAATGATTTGGATCATAGGCAATAACAACAATTTTTCGGTAATTTACAATATTTTTTTCTACAGTGAGAACCAAAAACCTGTGGAAAATGTTCTTTTTTTATTATTTTTTAGAAAAGTTCATTTGGAAAAGTTAACAAAATTCTTACTTGTCACTTACCGTGTTCCATTGATATTATCACTAACAATATATAAAGGATTGTCCCTTCCATCTTCTACATCCACCTCGTTCATGTCAAACATATCGTTGGAGAGAACATACATCCCTTCCTTGGTGCTCCCCTTCTCCTCGCTCTTCTCCCTCATCCTCTCCTCCTCCCTCAACCTCTCCTCATTCTCCTCAAGTTCATACTTCCTCCTCCTCTCGTCCTCATCCATTAGAACAGGAGGGAAGGAGGCAATCATTGGACTAAACAAGAAAATTATAATTTCTTAATGGAACTGTAATTGCCATTTTGGTTATGTCCATAGTCGATAATCAAAGAAAGGATTAAGGGATCCATTGTGAATTTAACATGCCGCTTTACAAAAAGAAGGTTGAATTCCTCAACAGTCCCTTAAAAGGGGATTTTAACAAAACAATGGTACACTATTTCAACTAATCATATTCGTCTCTTAATCATAAAATAAATGGCTGTAGGTTAAAGTTTCCTAGAAAACCTGCAGCGTTGTGAGTCCTTGATGTCCGGCCAGTTAAAGTTGATAATATCAAGATTTGATTTTTATTTAAGAACATTTTTAGTTTTTTTTACAGTTTTTTTATTCCTAGGCATCTAGAGCGCCTTTTCTTGTCTATAAAAACTTTAGCATTATTGCTGCTGATCTTCAATTTACCATTTTTTCAGTTATATTCACTAAAAAATCGGCGAACTTTCCTGTTCAAATTAGTGGATTTAAAAACATCATAAATCGACATTTTAAACACGTGTTTAGATAGTTTTTAGTCATAGCAATTAATACAAAAAACATGGAGAAAATTGGAACTGAAAATCCTTATCGCAATATAAAAGTAGAAAAGCCCCCAAAACTGTAAAAAAACAAGCTTAAACCTGAGAACATGAGTAATATTTGTGTTATTGGATTCACTTGGGACCAAAGTCATTCTCAAGCTGTTGTTGAAGTCTACAAGCTGTTGTGGCAGCTGATTTTATTGCTGTTGCTGTTTTCACTGCATGAAGTTGTTTAACAGCTGTACATAGGTTACATGTGCTTGTCTTTCACTGTAGCATTTAAAGCTTTAGATGTTGATGTTTTTATAACTTTTGTTGTATCTGTAGATAATGTTGTATCTGTAGATAACCAGATTATATTTCTTGATGTAGCTTGCCTACTGAATACAGGGTCAGCTGTACTGTTTCATCAGCATCCTTCTTCAGGGTCAGCTGTACTGTTCCATTAGCATCAATCAATCAATCATCTTTCTAAAAAATTCATAAATATAGGAACTATAGTCATAATTTACTCTCATTACATTTACTTCAATGGCCCAAAAAAAATCCACGAACCTTTTTTCTTTCAAAATCAAAAGTTCAGAAAAACAAAAATGTGTAAATAAATTGTTTCTATCGAAATCTAAAATTTTAAAAATATTGACTCACAGAATCTCAGAAAATTTGCAAAAAAATTCTCCATTTTCAGTTCTGGTATAATTTTTACGGAAAAATTGTTTTTTCAATGGTTCTCAAGGTTTCAACTGAACAGCGTATATTTAATACTTCAGAATATACTAAGAAGATAGGAACTAGAGAATTTAACTAACTTTTCCTTAAAAATTAGCCCAGAACTGAAAATTGCGAATTTTCTTATTACAATTTTGCCAATTTTCTGTGATTCTGTAATTCAATCTTAATAAAATTTTAGATTTAGAGAGAAATAATATGAATGCACATTTTTGCTTTTCTGAACTTTTGATTTTGAGAGAAAAAAACGATTCACGGATTTTCTTTACGGCCATTAGAGTACCAAAAAAAATTACAAATTTTCAAAAAATATTGAAAACACACCATACAGGAGAGTTGCACAAAAAAAGGTACAATTTTGCACCTGGCGCCGCAAATCACACTTTTTTTTTGACTCACCCTGTATATGTTATTGTTTTATGTTCATTTATGGTTTCTCTGCGAAAGTGACTTTTAAGAAGCAATGGAGAAATGATCAGAATTAAAAAATTTGAAAAACGACAATATCTTCCACATTTTTAATCAGATTTAGGATTCAAGGGTAACGTTGTAAATTGGACATTGTTCCTTGAAGTCCTACGGATTAAGTGTGATTATAAAAATATGAATTCATTCTTTCTCTATGAAAAGTTTACCTGCTTTATCTTTATAAATGTTTTGTATAGTTTAATTTCAACAATGTATAATCTCTATAATATAAAACGTATCAGCTTTCGTCAATCATATAAAATGTTAAAATTTATTTGATCAAATATATTCTCAGTTTTGTAAAGAAAATGTAAATTGTATACTTTATTAGTACAATAAATATACTAGCATACATCTTTCAGAAAATCCATAGTAACCCTATGCATATAAATTGGCACAATAGTTCTTTTCTTGTTTACAATTACGTACAATAAATGCAAAAAACTCCTTTCCTTGAAAAATTAGAATTTTATTCGCTTAACATCTTTTCTTATTTTGTTGTGTGGTTTTGAGGTTTTTTAAACTTAAATCAATAAAGAGATTACGCAGCTTTGGGTAAAACTTAATTTTTCCAGCTGTTAAGAAATCTGACCTATGAACCTTTCGATCTAAAAGTATTATGATCTATAGAGAATTTGATTTAAAAAATGTAGAAATTTGTCTTAAATAACCTTTTTCAAAAACTAAAATTTTTCAATAAAATTTTTGCCTTAAAATCTTAAAAAATTCTAAACTTTATTTCTAAAAGTATAGAATTTGACTAAAAGTGTAGATTTTCTTCAAAAAAGTTTAGACTTTGATCTAAATTCTGATAATTTGAGTAAAACTGTCAGATTTAGAAGTTCACAAAATGTGTATGGTTCATACCTCAATGGAGATGAGTAGGACTCAGGTTAAGGATGAGCAGGGTTCAGGGTAGAGATTAATAGAGTTCAGGTTAAGAGTGAGTAAGGTTCAGGTTAGGGATGAATAGGGTTTAGGGTAGAGATTAATAGAGTTCAGGTTAAGGATGAGTAGGGTTCAGGATAGAAATGATTATGTATGGTTTAGGTTAGGGATGAGTAGGGTTCAGGTTAGAGATCAATATGGTTCATGTTGGAAAGATTTTCACTCTAACATAAGCCTACTTATATCTAACCTAAGCCCTAACCTTCTCCATAGTCCACATGAACACAACAGTTTAAAGATGTTATTTTTTCATTTTAGACTCTTATTCTTCACATTTTAGATCTAAATAAACACATTTTAGATCAAATTCAACACATTTAGATCTAATTTAACACATTTTAGATCAAATTTAACACATTCTAGATTTGAGATCAAATTTAACACATTTTAGATATAATTTAACACATTTTAGATATAATTTAACACATTTTAGATATAATTTAACACATTTGAGATCAAATTCAACACATTTGAGATATAATTTAACACATTTGAGATCAAATTCAACACATTTTAGATATGATTTAACACATTTTAGATCTAATTGAGCACTTTTTGGAAACATATTTATTATTAACAATAGGTTTTAGATACATCAAATTTCACATTTTTCCGAAAAAAGTGGGAATTTGATCTAATTTTTTTTAGATCAGAGTCAACGTAGGTGAGATTCTTTTAGATCAAATTCCCTTTAGATTAAAAGTGTTATAAACTTTTATATCAAATTACAGTGACAAGATTTTTCCTTTACAGTCCCTTTAATAACATATTTTCTTTCTATTCTTCCAAGATACAATTTAGATAAGAATAATTTTAGATTTATGACTGTGGATGAAGGGGTTTATAAGTATTATTTTACCATGTAGGGTTTTAATTAAACAAACAAAATTCGGTGTAAGTATAGACAAAAAGTCTGAAAATTAATTGTTGAGTGTTTCGACTAAATGCATTACTAATTTATTTTATTTTAAAACTTTACGACCTGGAAAATACTATTAATTTTAAAAGTTAGAATTTAGAATTTATACTTTTTCAATTTTTAGTTTAAAACTTTTTCTTTAGTTTTCTGTGTTTGACAGTCTGGATTTATTTTTTAATCTTTAAACACAGACGGATGTAGACCAGATCTAATCTGTTTTCTATATCGATGAAAAAAATGTATTTTTAAGGTTTTTATCCGACAAAATCAGAGAAGTTTGAATATAATTTTAACAATACATTATTTTCGTGAAGAAGTTTTAAAGATTTTTTGTAAAAAAGTTTTATCGTAAAGAAGTTTTAAGTTTTATCGTAAAGAAATTTTAAAGTTTTATCGTAAAGAAATTTTAAAGTTTTATTGTAAAGAAATTTTAAGTTTTATCGTGAAGAAGTTTTAAAGATTTTTCGTAAAAAAGTTGTATCATAAAGAAATTTTAAAGTTTTATCATAAAAAAATTTTAAAGTTTTATCATAAAGAAATTTTAAAGTTTTATTGTGAAAAAATTTTAAAGTTTTATCGTGAAGAAGTTTTAAAGTTTTATCTTGAAGAAATTTTAAAGTTTTATCATGAAGAAGTTTTAAAATTTTTTCGTAAAAACGTTGTATCGTAAAGAAATTTTAAAGTTTTATCGTAAAGAGGTTTAAAGTTTTATCATAAAGAAATTTTAAAGTTTTATCGTAAAGAAATTTTAAAGTTTTATCGTAAAGAAATTTTAAGTTTTATCGTGAAGAAGTTTTAAAGATTTTTNAAAACAAAAACAAAAAAGTTCGCGGATTTTATAAAAAATGTTCGTGGCTGGTTCGATCATCCGTAGACCTTCAATGGGATCCTGTGAGGTCCCACAACTAATTTGGGGCCGATCGTTTCAGCCGTTTTAGCGTTTATTGTATACAAACAGACAAACAGACACCCAGACAAGCAAAGTATATATAAACTAGGATTTTAGCGAAGCGCAGCCATCTTCTTTTTCAACTTTTAATTGTGGCTTTATCTGTGAGCATCTTCTCTTTGTACAGTATACATTTTTTTTATTTGCGGATTTCATAATATTATTTTGCGTATTTTCAAAATTTTACAAAGTTAAATAATTAAAGTCTGATTGGCTATAAATGCCACGTGAGGTCCCACACAAAATTTGGGCATGATCGGTTTAGCCGTTTTGACGTTTATTGGAAATAAACAAATAGACAGACAGAAAAGCTAAACTTATATATAGATACTAGGCTTTTAGGGCGCTTCGCGCCCATCTTCTATTTAAATTGTGAACATGTTCCTTTTGTTTACATTTTAAAACAAAGAAGAAAAAAATTTCGCGGATTTTTTAAAAAAAAATTCGCGGATTTTTAAGAATTTAAATTTTTTTTACAAAATTAAAAACCTTTAAAACACATTTATTTTTATTTTTATCATTCGTAAACCTTCCCTGTGGTTACGTGATGTCCCACAAAAAATTTGGGCCCGATCGGTTCAGCCGTTTTGACGTTTATTGGATACAAACAAACACCCAGACAAGCCAAATTTATATATCTAAGAAGATATAGATATTCTAAAATAACTAAAAGAGACTATTGTTGCAATTTCTGAAGAGTTATATATCCTGTTACCAAAGGTTAAAAAACTGGTAATATTCATTTTAGGATTCTATGTAAAAGTGACTTGCGGAGTTGTGAACAATTTTCAGCAGAGACAAGAAAGGAAAATTGACAAAATTTGTCTCTTTTCAAGAGATAAGCAACAATATATTGCTCATTGTTACTCAGATAGACCCTAGAGGTTTATTGGGTATCATTGAGCACCGGGCATTTAATTTTAAAATGGAAGGCCTCCTTAACAGCAAAATACAGAATAGAAATAAGTCCGCCTTAATAAAACTCCATTTTATTTTTCCTGCAGGTTATTTAAATGAATAATTTATTTCAATGACGTCATATGTACATTATATTACGTCGAGTCCGTAGAGAGTGATTAATTGAAAAATATTGTTTGGCATTTTTTAATAAAATTCCTGAATCCAGAGTGCAGGTTCCTTACAGCATTATCATAGCTTTCTACAGAATAATATATCTACAAGGAATATTACACATAAACAGAGTCTTAATAGAATGATATAGATGGACAGAAAAGAAGAGATAAAAAAGGAAAGAAAAAGAGAGATGATTGAAGGAAAAAAAGTAATAACGACTGAAGAGAAAAAAAGAAGTGGGCGACGCGAAAAGAAGATACAAAAAAGAAAAAAGAGAATTAGAGGTAGGAAAAAGTAAGAAATAAAGGAAACTAAAGGAATGAGAAGGGAAAAGGAAAAAAAGAAGAAAGGAAAGGAATTATTTATGAAAGAGAATGAAAAGTGAAAATATATAACAGGAAAAAGAACAAAAAGGAGGAAGAGTATAAAATGTTGAAGTGCAAGACTGTACAATGAAAGTATTGTAGAATTGAAAGCTACGGATTAAATATTTAAAAGTCTGCAATATATACTCCACTTAAATATATATATCTACATTATTGATTCTGACTCTGAAAACTCTATATACGCACAACAACATAATATAAAAATATTTATCATTTTCTTGAAGCCATGAAAACATCTTAATTTAGAAATATTAAAAAATAAATGAACTGTACACTTTCATATGAGATATGTTAGTGTTAATGTATATGTTAACATTACATACTGACATCAATAAACTTTAATGAATTGTGTAAAGTCAATGTTAATGTTAATGTTAATGTTAATGTTAATGTTAATGTTAATGTTAATGTTAATGTTAATGTTAATGTTAATGTTAATGTTAATGTTAATGTTATTTAGAAAAAATAAGGCATTTAGTTTTACATTTTTCGATTCGAATATTTGTACTAAATTTCAGCTTAGTAGCTTTGGCAAAATTTTCACAAATTTTCACCATTTCCTGAGAATCATAACCTTTAATGAATTGTTTAAAGTCAACGTTATTGTGCATGTTAATCGAAGTTTGAAAATTCTAAGGTTTACACCATCAGGTTGAAAGCATATAGGGACTATAACATTTGTGCTTGTGACAAAGACTCAATACCTTTGATAGAAATCTTTTAAAAATGTCTTTTTTTTAAGTTAAAAAAGAACTTAAGAACTTTCAAATTATCAAAAAATTATAAAATTTGATAATGAACACAAAGTTAAGTACCTGTGTATCTAAGGATTGGTCAAAGGCCATTTGCTACACTGTTTAGACTCAGCTGTCGGCCAGCGGCCGATTGTTTTATTCTTGTTGATTTCAGACTTGTTTGTTTCTAATCTATTCTTCTCTTACATCCTAGAATAAGAAGAAAATTACTTCAGATTTAGAATTCACCCCAGTCTAAAAGTTGCATGATACGAGCCGGTACAATACGTACTGTTTATGCATCCAGTCGTACTGTCCAGTCAGAAGGAGAAAGTAACATACATTTTCATCACAGGTATGACTTTGTGACCTTGTATGTAGCTCCTATAGTTTTGATTTAACGCACAAGTTTGAGAAACGCAAATGTATTTGGTTTCATATTTAAAATGCAAAATATTTTGTTCTTCTCAATAGCTCTTCAATAAAAGGAGTTATTATTGAAAACATATAGTTTTTAAATCTTACGAGAAATTTATTTTAGTTTGGCGTATACGTCTTGTCCACGACAAAAGTCTAAAAACATTATCAATTTTATCTATTTTTAAAATCACTTTTTCAGAAATAATCCCGCCAAAAAAAATAATTAAATAAAGTTCAAAACGATACTTATGGCTAATTCAATTTTCAAACTTCAGGAAGTGTTTATTCAAGTAATTGAAAAGCCTGAAAACCTGTTGACTTTTGATAAGGTTTCACTTGAAAAAATCCATTGAGAATTTTAAATATTGACAATTGTTTAGACAAAACTTAAACTTGGAACAATAGTTGAAATCAAATCTGAATCGACTTCAAGTCAATGTATCAACTCTATACTTTATATTTATACATACTAGCCTGATAGGGCGCTTCGCGCCCATCTTCTAAATTAATTGTGAACATGTTCTATTTGTGAACATCGTAAAACAAAACAAAAATAATTCGCGGATTTTCACAAAAAATTTCGTGGATTTTCAAAATTTTCAAAAATTTAATGAAGATCGAATTTTGATGGAGACAAATATTTGAAATTTTGATCATTCATAAACCTTCCCTGTGGTCCCTAGATGTCCCACAAAAAAATGGGGCCCGATCGGCTCAGCCGTTTTCACGTTTATTGGATACAAACAAACAGACAGACAAGCCAAATTTATATATAGATATATACTTTAATTTTCTGTCTGTCGGTTTGTATCCAATAAACGTTAAAACAGCCTAACCGATTGGGATAACAAATTTTGAGGTAAATCATATTATTACCCTAGGGAAAGTTTATGGATCCTCAAACTTTTACAAATTTGTCTCCAACATATTTTTTACATAAAAAATCCACGAAAAATATTTTTAAATTGGCGTTTATTTGTTCGTTATTGTTTAATATTGTAAAAAGAGTTGAAATAGAGTAAAAAGAGTTGAAATAGAAGATGGGCACGAAGCGCCCTAAAAGTATAGTTAATTTAATATTTACATATTTATGATCTTGTGGTTTTTAATGACAAATATCGACATTAGACAGTATAATAACCTATAATAGCCCTTAAAGGTAAAAAACATGAAAATGTCATAGAAATATTTAGTTAGAAGTTAGAAATTAACAGTCATATGCATTTTTGTTACAGAAAATTTGAAGTTGTTTTGAAAATATATTGATACCATACATTATTATTCATTATGTAGAGAGGCTTGGCTCAACACTCATTTCATTTTCTGAAAATGTAAAAAAAGATTCTAAAAGAAGATTTAAATTGTTTAGTCCCTAGCTTCTAGCAGTTGGGGCCAAAATAGTCCCTAGCTTCCAGCAGATGGAGCCAAAATAGTCCCTAGCTTCCAGCTGATGGGGCCAAAATAGTCCCTAGCTTCTAGCTGATGGGGCCAAAATAGTCCCTAGCTTCCAGAGCAGATGGAGCCAAAATAGTCCCTAGCTTCCAGCTGATGGGGCCAAAATAGTCCCTAGCTTCCAGCAGATGGGGCCAAAATAGTCCCTAGCTTCTAGCTGATGGGGCCAAAATAGTCCCTAGCTTCCAGAAGATGGGGCCAAAATAGTCCCTAGCTTCCAGCTGATGGGGCCAAAATAGTCCCTAGCTTCCAGCTGATGGGGCCAAAATAGTCCCTAGCTTCCAGAAGATGGGGCCAAAATAGTCCCTAGCTTCCAGCTGATGGGGCCAAAATAGTCCCTAGCTTCCAGCAGATGGGGCCAAAATAGTCCCTAGCCTCCAGCAGATGGGGCCAAAATAGTCCCTAGCCTCCAGCAGATGGGGCCAAATGGTCCCTAGCTTCCAGCAGATGGGACCAAGACTCAACATGAAGACGTAATACGTCTTTTAAAGGGCCTTTACTATTTTAAACATGTGTATCTTCTATATATATAAAGTTGTAATCTCTGTTTGTATGTCCGATCATAACTCAGGAACCCATTCACTAATTTGACCAAAATTATGACTAAGGAATTCGTTAGAATCAGGAGAATCTTCTTAGCTTGGATTAAAATGTATAAGTTGAGTGGGCAGAATATTTTAGAGTAAGTTTAGTTACCAGGCAAAGCTGGGTTTCCAAGCTAGTAATTATATAATATTGTGATTAAAATAAAAAATAAGAATTATAAGAGGAACATAGCTAAACCATTTTTTCTGTAAATTAAAATAATAAAAATATTTTTATTTTGTTTGTATTGTTCATTGTTTGCTTAAAGGTATAAAATACATCAAATATACAATTATTCAATTTGTTAGATTCTGGAAAATTCTGGAAACCTAAAACGAATACTTTTAAAGTATATGTATATAATGTAAGAAATGTATATAATGTAAGAAAGGCATAAACTCCCCAGAAAAAATCCCCATTTCTTTGGTAAATGTACTGCGGTTCACATTTCTTTGGTAAATATTGCGGATCACATGTCTTTGGTAAATGTACTGGGGATCACATATCTTTGGTAAATATTGCGGATCACATGTCTTTGGTAAATGTACTGCGGATCACATTTCTTTGGTAAATGTACTGCGGATCACATTTCTTTTGGTAACTGTACTGCGGATCACATTTCTTTTGTAAATGTACTGTGGATCACATTTCTTTGGTAAATATTGCGGATCACATGTCTTTGGTAAATGTACTGCGGATCACATTTCTTTGGTAACTGTACTGCGGATCACATTTCTTTGGTAAATGTACTGCGGATCACATTTCTTTGGTAACTGTACTGCGGATCACATTTCTTTGGTAAATATTGCGGAACACATTTCTTTGGTAAATGTACTGCGGATCACATTTCTTTTGGTAAATGTACTGCAGATCACATTTCTTTGGTAAATGTACTGCGGATTACATTTCTTTGGTAAATGTACTGTGAATCCCATTTCTTTGGTAAATATTGCGGATCACATTTCTTTGGTAAACATTGCGGATCATATTTCTTTGGTAAATGTACTGCGGATCACATTTCTTTTGGTAACTGTACTGCGGATCACATTTCTTTTGTAAATGTACTGCGGATCACATTTCTTTGGTAAATATTGCGGATCACATTTCTTTGGTAAATGTACTGCGGATCACATTTCTTTGGTAAATGTACTGCGGATCACATTTCTTTGGTAACTGTACTACGGATCACATTTCTTTGGTAAATATTGCGGATCACATTTCTTAAGTAAATGTACCGAGGATCACATTTCTTTGGTAAATGTACTGCGGATCACATTTCTTTGGTAACTGTACTGCGGATCATATTTCTTTGGTAAATGTACTGCGGATTACATTTCTTTGGTAATCGTACTGCGGATCACATTTCTTTGGTAAATGTACTGCGGATCACATTTCTTTGGTAAATGTACTGCAGATCACATTTCTTTGGTAAATGTACTGCGGATCACATTTCTTTGGTAAATGTACTGCGGATCACATTTCTTTGGTAAATATTGCGGATCACATTTCTTTGGTAAAAATTGCGGATCACATTTCTTTGGTAAATATTGCGAATCACATTTCTTTGGTAAATGTACTGCGGATCACATTTCTTTGGTAAATGTACTGCGGATCAATCAATGCAGTACGCAGCGAAAGCTTAGTTTAGGGTTCCTGAAGGTTCCTGAATTAAAAATCCGAGAAATAAAACTTTGAAATAAAAGTCCTAATTTTTCTAAAGTCCTGGTTTGATTGTTGGGACTTTTTTGTTTACAAATAAAGTGTAGATACAACATATTCTGGAAGGAATATATACAAAGCTCAGCCTGAGCAGCTGCAGTGCGTTTTTTACGTTACTCTTAGAAACTGAAGTACATTTTTTTTGTTTATGTACTCTTTTAGGGAATTTAAGAAAATTTTCCATGACACTTTGTTTTCAAAACTTAAAATTCTTTTTTCTTTAAACTTCCTTGCAAAACATAGATTGCAAACAGCGCAGATTATGTAACAATACAAACACTTAAAATAAAAAGAGACATATTGGAAATTAAAAACATTTTTACTATTCTCAATAGCTAGGCTCTTCAATCAGAGGACTTATGTTTGAAAACTTGAAATAAAATATTTAAATCTTTCATGAAATTTACATTTGTTTATCGTGGAGTATCTATGTCGCATTTAAAGAAATTGGAGAGATGTTTCTCAGAATTAAATGATTGAATAAATGATTGAATAAATAATTGAAAATAAACTTTGCTGGTCTTTAAACAAATTGATTACATCGTCTACATGAAACCCTTGGATTTTCTTAATGTCTTTTAAAAAGACGGTCAAATCAACCAATAATCAATAGTTCAAAATATCAGCAATATAATGGTTAAAAAGTTCGGTTCAAATAGATTTGTTTAAAGTCGTGAAAACCACATTTCTTGCATTTACTTATATACATCTAAACACATAAAACTGTGGGATAGGAATATGTTGATTTTCAAGCTACCGATAAAATTATTTACTTTAAAACAACATTAAATAAATTTAAAATTGTCTGAATGTCGTCTGTCTGTTCCACAGTTTAATGGGTCCTACTATATATTTAGAAAAACTATTTGTTGATCAAATAACAATGTTTTATCTGTGTTGTTAAGAAAACACGTGTATTGCAATGCTGTTCATGTACAATATACAAAGTAAACGATTTAGTCAACATGGCCGAGTCAGCTGAAATTTATTCTTTGTCCTACCCTCATTGTGAAAATAACTAAAAGAAACGTGGTATTTCACGAGTTGTAAGAATTCTGAAGACTCTGTGTTCGAATTATGAATATTTTAATAACGTTCCCTCCCCCCCCTTCTCCTCATGAATGCATTTGCATATAACCTGAAAAGACAAATTATTGTTCAAATAATAAATATTTTTACAGGTAAAACAATATGTATGTATAAATAGATAGATATAAAATAGATTAGAACCATATATAAAGTAAGTCATTTTGTAGTGTATAAAAATTGACAATATAAGCCATCTTTTCATTAAGCTTTAGTCAATTATTCAAAGTGACCGTATATTCAATTTTATTTGTTCTCCATGCATTTTTCAAGGGCATTTCAAAAACATAGTTTTTTAGATCTGTAGCTTTACCTGCTTTAGTGACAAAAAGTTATGGGCTATTTTAGATTTTTTTTCAGAGTCCAGAATTTTTTTCAGCTTTTTAAATAAAAAGACATATTATTTTACCTAAAAATTTCACGGTGATAGTGTCAAAAATGAGATTTCTAGGAAAAAAACTACAGAGGGGAGGGCGACAAACGCCCCCCCCCTCCGCCTGTTTAGGGTTAATGCCTTTGATTTCACCCTCCCATAGAATACATGACAATCTCCTACCTCCAAATCAACTCCTTAGCTATCCCAAAACATAATTTGGTGCGCGTGTCCAATTATATTAATTATCGTTAACTAAATAAGGGCCGACCAGGGAGTAAGGAATAGAAGGGAGATATAACTGACACGGTTCACCCTACCATATGATTATACATGCATTGCAGACGGGTACTCAATTTGTGTAAGAAATATTTGTCAGTTATGTCTCCCTTCTATTCCTTACTCCCTGGAGCCAGACCATTTAAAACAACCTACCCTGGTTAGGCGGGTCCAGACTGCAAAGTCGATTGTGATTGCTTATTTGAAATAACCCATGATTTGTAGTTGAATAAAAATATGAATATATGATTTTTAAAGTGGCATGTCCGATTAACAGCGATACCTTTTAAACTTTTTTGATCACATTTTTTTTTATTTCTTTCGTGAGCCATGTGATGTCATTCTATTGGAGTAAACACTGTACAGTGTGTACATACACGTGTACTATCTCAATGATCTGATTAAGTTTTAAAGGGAACCATGGCGAACCTGACCCGCGTTAAAAACAAAGCATCCAGTGCAGTTTTTGCTTTGTCAAGTGTAAAAAATTTTCTTCCTAGTAATATTAAACTAACCATTTACAACTCATTATTTCGATCATTTATAGAATATGCAATTTCAGCCTGGGGATGTAATAAATGTTCAGAAATGAAACAAATTCACATTTTACAGAAACGAGCAATACGATTAATTGATAACTCAAAAGCCACGTCTCATAGTGATCCTCTTTTCCCTAAGTATAAGATTCTAAAGAGTAATGATCTGGTAGACTTTAACCAAGCTATATTTATGTATAAATATACACATAAACATCAAGCTCTCTTCTTAAGATGTGGAATAACCTGCCTCTTGACTTAAAAAGAAGCAACTCTCTAAGTATTTTTAAAAATA